TCCTACTTCCTGATCCACCAGCAGACTTCCCCTGCCTGTCTATACTGTACCTTCTACCTACCTGCCCTTGCTCATAAATTCTGTCTCCACATACTTCTAGCAAGAAGAGTTAGAGGCTGGGATGGCTAGATAAGAGGCTTTTTCAGAATTATATCTACTTACCTGAGATTGTATCATTTAACATCACTAGAAATGAAAACAAGGGCAATAGAACGAGAAAGAGATGATCCCTAATTGACAGAAACCAGTCGCGAGACTGTATTTGTGTCAAAGCTCTGCCTTTCTTGATATAGACATGAATAATTGCACACACAGTCACACACCTCCCTACAAGTACTTAAAGTCACTTTCCATTAGCTACACATCTAGATTGCTGTCTCTCTTGCCTGTAAGTACATGTCTGAATAACATAACAGAAGACAACCTGTCTACATTTACGTATCAGTTCTGATTTTCACGGTTGGGGAAACTTCACCTCTTGGATTTATTTTAAGTCGAGTGTGATGAATGGCCTTGGGAACTACAGCATAGGAACAAAAACTCATGAGAGTTTCAAGCTTTTTTTTCCCTCTTCTCTTTTTGGAGGCACAACTACTTCATCATTGCTGTCAAGTGAGGGCTCGGTATTACGGAAAAATTAAAAATGAAAGCCTAAAAGGCACTGTAATTTTGTAAAATTACATAGTATGTTTGCAAGCTTCTCTTTGAAAGTGTCTTTATATATGTGGACATAAATTCTTTAGGTAATTAAAAGCATTGCCTGGTAAATAAGTTTAACTTTTTTTTTTTACTATATTTTTATTGATGTTGGAGAGGAAGGGAGAGGGAAAGAGAGATAGAAACATCAATGATGAGAGAGAATCATTGATTGGCTGCCTCCTGCATGCCCACCACTGGGGATCGAGCCCACAACCTGGGCATATGCCCCTGACCAGGAATCGAACCCGCAACCTCTTGGTTCCTGGGTCGACGCTCAACCGCTGAGCTACACCCGGCTGGGCAAGTTTAACTTTTTAAAATGAAATGTAGTTTGTGTGTGAATCTTGGTATGAATGAGATAATGGGCATACTATGAGTATTCACTTGATTTAAAAACAAAACAAAACATGATACATTGAATAATGGTTTTTAGTACATATTAGATTATAATAATCTTTAAGCCTGATTAGCAGAAATGGTTTAAAGTGTAGTGCTTTTGGTGGAGGCAGATGATAGAGAGTATATCAGGCAGCTATTTCAACAATGAACCCCAAATCTCAATGGCTCACGGCAAATATTTATTGTTCCCATTCATTGGCTTAGGAGTTGACTAAGGTTCATTTGATTTGAGCCAGGTTCAGCTAAGATTGGCTCCAGGCAGTAAGACTGTGTATGGGTCTGCTCTGTGTGTCTAATCCAGGCTCCCTAGGATGGGCTTGTCAAATAATGATGGCATAAACACAAAGCAGGGTGTAAAAACACACGGTGCTTCTTACTGGTAAGGCTTGCTTCAGAATTGGCACAGTGTCACATTGCCGACATTCAGTTGGCCAAAACAGGTCATGAGGCCAGATCCACTATCCATGGGCCAATGGGAGGAACTGCCAAGACAACTGGCAAGGCCTTGGGTGCTTAATAATCATACAGGGAGTGAGTAAAGAAGTGCTAACAATACTCCAACGTACCATAGGTAGAGAGACATTCTATTTTGGAGAGATAAGCTATGGATACTGCTTACAGTTGTAAATGGCATATTACCTTTCCTGTCTTTCTGCTTCCATTACATTGATAATTGACAGCAAAACCCCAGTCTGATGTTGTAGGTTAGCATCAGGAAGTGCAGCTCATCATTTGAATGGTTGAGACAAGCACAGACTTTCCAGGTGGTCCCAAGGTAAGTCGCCCTTACCGTACTGTGACTGTGCTATGTGTTGTTATTAATAGTGGTCAGCTGTAGAATTAACCTGTGTGTGTATGTGTGGTCCATCCAGCTGTTGGAATGTCTTTGATAAGCAAAATAAGCAATAAACACTGAGTAAAAAACAAATTTACAATATGCACATGAAAGGGAAAGATATATGATTAGGTTGATTAAACTTTACAGCTTTTTACAAAATGTTCAATGAAAATCAAATACCTCAAAATCTGTATCAGAAAATTAAATGACACTTGACTTTTGACAGAACATACTTACCTAATTTTAGGTAAGTTTTCCTTCTCTTTATTAAATTTATTCAGTTGAAGAGAGTAGTGTGGCTACTACCCATTTTAATAAATATAGACATCTGCTTTATTTCTAACTTCAAAAAACTTGTGTTGGTATTATTAAAATTTCCATTAAAAGACTTACTTTATAAGTTTATGTGCTTTCTGATGGTGAATTTGTCCCATGTCCTAACCTACATTGTCAGACGTTTAAGAATAATGTTTTAATGTTACTGACTTCTGCCCTTGGTCCTTTGCTGTCAAATTTATCCTCACCAAAATTACTGTGCGCCATGATTTTTACCTTGCATGTTTCCTTCACAGGGATTTTGTCTGGTTAAACACTAGGTATGAGAAATTGGCTCTTTAAAATTAAAACTATTTCCAAAACAAAGTTCCTTTTAATTGTTTCTACCTAAACTGCGTGCTGTCTTTCCTCTGCACAGGAGTGGATTGGGTTGCACTCCACACCTCATGAATGCTGTGTTGGATAGCACCGCAGGGTGTACGAGGGAGTTTGTGTGTGCATATGCATTTTCTCTAAGGACACAGATCCTAGTTATTGTGGGAATTCACCACTCTCTTAAACCCAAATGATGAACTTTTGCTCACCAGACAATGTGCCTTTGATGATCTGGATGTCTTACCTTAGGTGTTGTATATTATGTTCTCTGTGATGTATATATTATGCTTTATGTCGTTTTATTAACCAGTATAAACTTTACTCAAAGCCAGCAGCTATTCCAAAATAAAAATGAAAAGTGGAAGGCCATAAAATGAAAAATAGGGCTAGTAATTAGTACATTTCTGAAGATAATGTAGCATGGTGAGAGTATACCATAAATTTAAAAAGGTCTATTTTCTTTTTTCTTGCCCAATATGAGTAGAAGTATTCTGGGAGAGAGATGAGCCATATAATGGCAGCTAAAAAGGCTCTGGGCTTGAATCTCTTCATCTATGAAAGCATGGCCAGCAACCTTCCTCTCAGTGTCACCGTGAAGATAAAGTGAAGGTACTTTGTAGAGTGCCTCTTCTTAGAGCCAGAGTGGGGCACTACCAGGAGGGCCAAAGCAAACGCTCTGGAAAGTGTAGGTAACAAGGGGCATATGGAGAGGGTGAGGCCAGGTGACTGAAACGGCTCTCATTCTAAGACATCTGGCTCAGGGAAAGGAAGAGCTTGGTTATAATAATCTGGACACCCTATGTCAGCAGAGTAAACACCTGAGGCCCTGGACTCTCACGTCCTCAGTCTCCACAGAGAGTGTTCTACGGGCAGCCCGCCAGAGGGCAACTGTAGAGACGCTGGGACCTGCCTCACCTTTCACTCTGAGGTGTTTGGAAATCAGCTGACTGGACAAGCAAACAACAAGCAAAACCTTGGCCATTTTTAAATAGTGTTTCTTCTAAAATGCTACTCTCATAGAAAGGAGAAGCATGTTATCCCATGATCCCTCTGTTAGCTGGCTTACTCTCAGCTCAGGTCACTGGTAAGTCAGGTTTGCAGCATGGCAGAAGTCATTGGCTGGCTTTGGGTCACTGCCAAAGAGACGCTCTTACAAGGATTATGTGTAATAAACACCCTATCATATATCCAACGGTGATCTCTATTGCGAAAGTACACTAAACCCTTAACTTCTGCCTGGTTGAGCCTAAACCCTTAACTTCTGCCTGGTTGCATAATATTTTGCCAGGGTTGCTTACCAGGAATTAAAAGAGGACCAGGAACTTGAGAGTCAGATGGGACTTTAGAGGTGACCTAACCTAGTGTTTTCCAAACTATGTTCCATTGGAACACTAGTGGCTTTCAACAAGGTTATCAGGTGCCCCTTTAAATGGATTCTGTGGTCAATTAAGTGTGGAAAATACTATTATACGGAGCTAAATTTGTTTACTAAAGGACACTCAAGGTCTGTAATATGCTAACATGAATCGTAGCTCCAAGGGATAAGACATGCCACTTTTCTCACACTTATTTGGCCACAAAGTCCTTTGGTGACAGAACACACATTGTCATCACAAGAATGCCAGGCAGAGGCCATATAGTCTGGTCTTTGAGAGCATGGCCTCTAGCATTTAACTGCCGGGGTTCAATTCCTGGCTTTACCATTTACTGACTGTATGATCTTTGTGATTCAGTTTCTTCTTCTAAAACTGGAACACTAATGATACCTGCCAATAGGGTCCTTTTAAAAAATCAAAGAACAGGGCTGAGAACAGTGCCTGGCACATACCTGCCTATTCTTATCTTAACATGTAGATAAGAACTAGCAGAACATCTTCATTCTGGGGATGAGAAAAGGGAGTTCCACATAATCCACTCAGGCAGCCTCACGCATTCAACAAGCTGACCAGCCGCCAGTGTGCACCACTCATGATGATTCCACCCCCAACAGTGAAGATGAACACCGTGTAGTTCCTAAACTAGAAGACACACACACACTAGTGACTTGGCTCAGGTGACAGCTTTTAGTAGTAAAGCCAACAATCCAGCCTTCTGGCTTCTATCCTCCAGCTCATTCCCCGATTCTGTCCTGAATGAGAATGGTATGCATAGCAAGATTAGTAAGCAAGAATAGGGAGCCCAGAGATGAGCTAATTAGGCTTATTTTTTTAAGCAGGTGGTATGGGGGCACATGTTTTAATTCTTTGTTAGTGTGATTCAGAAGAGTAATTAAGAAAAGCACTTTTGGAGGAAAGGAAACTCTAAACCTTACAAAAAGGAAGGTAGTGTGAAATGGCCCACACGAGTCCCCAGATATGGTGGCTTGATGTTTTTCTGGCCACTGTCACTGAAAACCTTCTCTGTGTTTGTCTAGGCATCTCCTCCGAGAGCTTTCCCCGGGACTGCTTCAATGAGCAGTCACCCTCTAAGGACCTTCCCATCAGGGATGGAGGTGCCTGGGTCCTGGGCCATAGAGCTGGACCAGCCTGTCCCTTTCTGCTCCTCGAGGAGAGAGAGAAGACAAACAGAAGTGAATTGCACTTGGATCTCCATGTAAGTAGAAATATTGTGTTTGTGCTGTGATTCTTTGCAGTCAGCATAGGTTCATTTAATATGCATTTGATGTAAATCATGTTCATAAAGCTGCTGAAGCTTCATTGTGTGTGCATGATCTGTGGTGGGGAGGGGTCATTGTCTAAAAATCAACTGGTGGCAGAAAACAGATCTTGGTGATCTGAAATTTATGTGCTAGAAAGTGACTGTGTTTACACTTTATCTGAGCTTTTCAGAGTCCTCTGTTCACATCAGCTTAGCTGCCTAAACCCCATTGTGGGAATGATCATTTGATGCTGTTCATCTCTTAATATCATTTTTTCTTAAAAGGTGAGGAAATATGTTAGCTGACTGATAGGCTCTGGATTTTCCAGTGAAACCCAAATAGCCTGTCTTGCTTGCACATTCCTAAACCTTTTTTTTTTTTTTTTCTCTTCGGCTGCCCAAATAACAGGTGATCAAGTTGGCAGGAAATCTGCAGAATACAAGATGACCCATTTTAAAAACACAGCCTTCTTCTTTCGCAGTCATTCTTGTATTCATTGACACAGAAGCATTGAAGACCCTATACAAAGCAGGGGGCTGAGTTTTAGCTACTTCCACATTGTAGGTGGCCTGATAGGATTGACCACCTGCCCCCATTTTCACCACCCTTGTTCACCCCCTTCACCTCCCAGTTTCCTGTCAGAGATGGGGGTGAGCATTAGGAATCCAGGAAGCACTTATTTCCCCCCCATTAATTCTCATGCCTATTGACAATCTTGAATACTTCCCAATTCATTACTTTCAGGCCTGGAAGTATGTGTTTGACGAATGTGGGTTAGGTCTGTGATGTTCATATGGGTGACAATTTTCTCACGCAACCAACAACAGAACCTTGTATTTTTCATAACTATAAAACCATAGTCACAGTATGTTTTTTTAGAAAAGCATTTGACATCCCAGTTATTGTAAAAGGAGGTTTGGAATGGAACTGAAAGATGGAAAATCTACAACCCTTCATGAGATGACATGGAAATTTGCAGTTTTGTTTTTCCCTCGGAATGAGTAAAATTGTGCAGCTTGAGACATGCTCCAAATAAGAAGTGGAACAGTGACATCTATTGGTCATATTACTCTCAGTTCAGCTTGCTGCTGCACAAGGCCTAGAACCTGGAAGTTCAGAAACAGATTTTGAAAGACTTACTTTTTCTTTTGTGTTTTTAAAAAATTCTGTGTTTATGTGTTTTTTTAGGCACTGGCTAAACAGGTTTACCTTCTCTGTGAGTTAAATTATTTCTTAATTTTACTTAGTTTATTTTTAGTTATAAGAATCATACCCAACCCTTTTAAAAAACTTGAAATATGTATTTAAATGGAAAGAAAAATAATCTGTAATCTCAGTAGTCAAGGATAGTGTTAAATTTGATAATTTTTTGTGCTTTTTACTATGTATTATTTATTTTCAGTGAGGGATTTTTTGGCATATAAACATAGATTTTATATCCTTCTTTCTTTCTTTTTCTATCAATCACTTTTGCATCGCTTACCCATGTTGTTTCAGGTTCCTTCTAGATGTATCTTAAGTGACCGTATACTGTCCTACTATAACATATCCCAAAATTTATTTAATTATTCTCTATTATTGGATGTTGAAGTTGTTTCCAATTTTGGAATAGTATACTACAATTTGGAAGTAAATACCACTGTCACACATATAATTTCTCCTATGCCCTTTCTCTTCCAAGTATTTTTAGGCTTTTGATACATATCATTGCATTAATAAGATCTATTTCCTGAACTAGCCTTTAATGGCAATGATATGTATATATAAAACATAATTTATATGTTATATACATTACTACTGGCCCTGTGCACAAATCCATGTGCGAGTAGCTCGCTGCTGCCTCAGCTGGCTTCCCTGCCCATTGCTGCTCATAGCTCTCCCCCACCTGTAGCTCTCCCACTCGTAGCTCTCCCCGCTCATAGCTCTCCCCGCTCATAGCTCTCCCTGCTCATAGCTCTCCCCCACCTGTAGCTCTCCCCGCTCATAGCTCTCCCCCGCTTGTAGCTCTCCCCGGCTCATAGCTCTCCCCGGCTCGTAGCTTGCTGCCCCACCTTCCTGCTGATCGGTGGTTATATGATGGCGGCCTGACTAATTTGCATATTACCCTATTATAAGTATAGATAATAAAACATTTTTATATGTTTCTTAGTCTACTATTCTAACTTTTAAAAATTAGGATAATTTTTTAAGATTATTTTCTACATTAGCTTTTTTATTTACACTTTGGGCCCTAAGGCTCCTCACCCCCAAACCCTTTCCCCTCAGTACCATTTGACTCTTATTCCCTCTCTGGTTCTTTATAGAGAAAAAAAGAAAAAAAAAAGCTAAAGAAAGGCCCTTCATAGTAGCACCAGCCCTCCTTCCAGTTACCATTTTGATTGGTGGATGCCAGACTCCCACTGATTATTAAATGTTTAGCTATCACCCTGCATATTAATGAGTGGCAGCACATCCACAGGAAAGGCTGGGAAAGGAACTTTCTGATAGTGGCAATGCAAAACAGAGCAGTCCTGTCAAAGCTTTAAGGCCAATCAAAATATCAGTCATAAACACCTCCCCGACCGAGTGTTCAAAGTCCCCCTGGAGAAACATGTCCTTGTAAGCTGGTGTGCTGATGATTAACAGGATATAAACTTTCACCAAGTCACTAGAACCCTTCCAAGTGGAAAATCTTACTTAGAATATCAATATTTAATATAATAACAATCTTTTTTTTTAATTAAGAAAAATGTAAAGGTCATTCTTAGCTTCCAGGCCATTCAGAAACAGGCAGTGGGCCCACCTCTGCTCTAGACCAGGAGTTGAAGATCTCTCTCACTTCTACTCTTGGCTCAACCACTAACTAGCTATGGCACCCTGGGCATTGCTGAACTTCCCTGGGCTTCAGGTTCTCTGTTTGTTTATTTGTTTGTTTTGTTGTATGTGGGTTCTTTTTTGTTGTTTTGTTTTTATCAAATGTGTTTTGACAGAATGGGGAGGACCAGGAACAGATAAAACAAAGTTCCTTTTAGCTACAATATTAGTTTCCCTGATTCTATTATAGGAACATAAATCAACCGAAGCAATGATTGATATTTGGAATGGAAATTATTTATTTAAAGGAAACAAATAACATTTCAATATTCCCAATGTGAATCTTTGTTCTAATGTGAGAAATAATGTCACATCTCTGATAGCAAGACCAAAATTTGTAGTCTCCTAACTCTATTTGAAGGCACCCACCACTTCTTTCCGATTCTCCAGTGCAGTTCCCCCTCCCCCAGTTTATTGAGGTATAATTGACATATAACATTGTATATGCTTAAGGTGTCCACCATAATGACTTTATATACATATGTGTGTATTACAAAATGATCACCACAGTAAATTTAGTTAACATCCATCACCTCAGTTACCAGATTCTGTTCTTGTGATGACAACTTTTAAGATCTACTCTCCTAGCAACTTCTAAATGTGCAACACAGTATTATTAACTGTAGTCACCATGCTATGCATTAGATCCTCAGAACTTATTAATCACATAACTAGAAGTCTGTATCTTTTGACTGCCTTCACCTATTTCCCCTATCCCCTTCCCCCCACCTCTGGCAACCACCCATCTGTTCTCTGTTTCTGTGAGCTTAGTTTTTGTTTGTTTGATTGATTTGGTTTTTATGTATGTGGGTATTTTTTAAGATTCCACATACAAGTGAAAGCATACAGTATTTGTCTTTCCCTGTCTGACTTGTTTCTCTTATTCTAGCATATGCCTCAAGAGCCATCCATGTTGTGACATTTGTCTTTCAGTCACTGAATTGTAAGGTCCTGGATGTCCTTGGGGAAATGGCAGGATGTGGGGCTGGTGTAGGATAGACACTAGAGATATTGAGGGCAGCATCTGTTTGCCAACCAGCATGTATTTTAATGTTCAAACAACCAGTGCTAGTCTTGATGCCTCTTGGGTAAATGTCAGCCAGACTATCATGTAGAGAGGTTCTTTTTCGGTGATTATCCTGTAGACCTGCGCAAGCAAGTTCTGTGGACCATTCTGGGTAATCTACAAAACTCCTGAAATACTGAACCCAGTGCTCAGTCAGCTCCCCTTCAGGTCCCGAGGTTTCTAAATAGTCCATAGGATGAACTCAGAGTGAAAAATCACTTGTTTTTCTGATATTCAGACTTAACTGGTTGTCCTGTATGTTATTTACTAAATCTGGCAACCCTAGGCATCGCTTTTCGGGCAGCATTCAAATGCACTAACTGTGTGAATTGCCGTCGGTGGCATCTGTGTATGGTAAACACTCAGTCACCCCAGAATCCCTGTTTAGAGCTGAACATTATAAAGTTACACTTAAAGGAAAGTTTCTTGTAGCCATCAAACAAGAAGCTACCATTAGCCATGCTCCTCCGTTTCCAGTGCATTTGAACCAGATATGCAAAGACACTGAAGATGGACAGACTAGAGAGCAAATGCAGCCTAATTTCTTACCAGTGAAATTTCCCAAAGATCTCATTTGAGAGGAGTACTCACCATGGAGGGTGGTTTATAAAGTGTCTGTAAACATGGGAGGTGTGTGAGATAGAAATACTACTAAAAAAAAAAGTGTGGCCTGAGATTGCAAAAAAGATAGAAAAAGATAAGCAGCCATTACGATTATTATTGGTCGCACAAATCCTGGAAGTAGGATTTTGCTTGCCAGTTTTTAAAACCCAAACTTTAACCTCTTCTTAGTGATTCTGATTTCCAAGGATCATCTCAATTTCCTTCTCACCTGTGGAGCCCTGAACTTTTCTGACTGAATTGGCCTAAGTGGATGGGGAGGACATAGCATCAGGTTCGAAGTAATTGTATCTTACGAATGGAATGATATAATTACCAAGTCTACACCCAACCTTTAGTGTCTCATCTGATAACAAAAACTTCCAGGTATTGATCACGTCCTAAATGCCAGGCACCATCCTTTGAGGTATCATT